TCTTTAACTTTACCTTTCAACAGTTATAAATCTACCAAACACCATTACAAAGTACCTACTTCGCTTAATTAAAATTTGCTAGAATTTGATGACAGCAATATCGTTAAGAGTTCGTAGTCGTAGTTCGAGCAACGGAAGCACTTTTTGAATCTTCTTTCGTATCAGAAAGTTTACAAGTTTACGACGTACTAATTCGTAAAAGAAACATTATACATTAGTCTCCATGTTTATTCATGTTGGCAGAAAAAGAAAATTAATTGTAGACTAGTGTGAAAAAAGAAACTACCGGCGGTAGTAAAGGAACTAATGCTTCCGAAATGGTTGTTTTGTTTAGTTTGTTGATAACGAGTTTCTGAAGGGAGTGTGGCTCGATGAAAAGTCTGAGCCATTGAATGCACATTAATTACCTGCGCATGACATGTAGTAAACCTTTTTTATGCTTATGAAACTTGCAATCATATTGAATACTATTTCAGCTTGTTAAAAATTAACATGTATGCTTCCGGACGCGAAAACATGAAGAGGCAACCAAAGTTTTTTTTGCAGACTCCAGAAATCAAAAAGTAATTTTTCGAAATCTTCTGCAATGAAACCTTCGGCGCCTCTTCATGTTTTCACATTCTGATTCCAATGAGGCTTCGGGACAACACAATACTACGATAAAAATGGCAAGCATTGCGAAGAAATGGATCGAACTGTTTTCCTAGCAATTCTTCTATTTCTTCAAATTTTCAGCGTTTTCCTTTCTCTGTTTAGATCGCTGTGGTGCTGTCGAGAAGCACCACCACGACTTGAACAACAGTACGAGACATCAAACAGTAACAGCAACAGTACGACTGATTTCAAACTTTGAAAAATTGAAAAATCTAATTCTGGAAAGAGAAACTCAAATTTCTTAGTTTGATATTTCGCGTCTTTCAAGCGTTTCGAAAAGTTTCCCGTTATTCTGAAGCTTTAAGTTGATCTAAATGTATAACAACTTAATGAGGCCAGTGAAACTGTTTTTTCGTTCTAAAAAGCACAAGGTAGTTTAAAAGCTCTCCAAAATATTTCCCAACAGTTTCTGGGTGCTCATGCCCATCAACCGGAAATATTTAGTTTACAATATAAAAAACTCAAGAATGTCGGGAAAAATCCTGCCCAGGTTTATGGATCTTTCATGTTTTTTGGACTGAAAAACGCTGGACTCTTTGGTATAGCACATTGAATCGCCACAGTTCAATCAGAGCACTAGTCCAAGGGGAAAAAAGGAGGATGCTACTGTATTGAACCTCCCAATCCCTTGCTCCGATCTGATGGACCTAGGCATAACAGTTTGACGACTGCGCTTGAAGACTAACAATCAAAGGCCCTTTTTGCCCTTTCATGTTATTCAACCACCACCTGGATGTACTATGATCGCTTGCTGCCTAACTATTATAGATTAGACTCAGGCAAAATGTAGAGCCGCAACGTGACGTGTTGAGAGAAGTCAACCCTCCAACTGCACGTAGAAACCAATGACACTATGGTACATTAGTACCTAAATGAAGTTGTTATCTTGTGACACTCGAATGAAGTCACGATTTTATGCTATCTGTCGATGGTAACGATACCTTTGCTGGAGGTAGTGGGGGGGGGAGTAGGGGTGGAAACCAAGGAAATAGTCTATCCATCCACTTCCAGTAAATCATGGCATGGTGCGAGGTCTTCTTGAGTAAATGTTGGAACCACATCCAAGATACTACTAAAGCTTTTTTAGCTGAGATTTCGGCTTAGTCGCACTCGTCTTAACCAAGGAAGGTGGGGCTGGCTTGAGTTTGGACCAACACTAAACTGAAATAGTTGTTTTCCGTTTCGCAAGTGTTCTGAAAAAAGCCCCAGTTAGCTGTGATCAAAGCTACCGACAGCATTGTTTGGAGAGGTCCAAGGAACACTTCCTAAACCGCTACATTTCGAACAAATATGAGCTGAACTCTTTTCCTGATTTTTTTTGATTTTTTTATACCGAAACCATTGAAGGTGCTGAGGGTTACTCCCTACTTCTGAAAAATGCTCAAACTAAAAGAAATATTAAACACTCTTCTTCTCCTCTAATCCAATAAAATGCCAATTCCAAGAAGATCATTGAGCTAAGCCAAGAGATGGCGCTTACTTTTACAATGAAAACGATTAGATCCTGAATAGTCCTTCTCTATGCCTTTCCCTTTTCAAGCTCTAATGAAGGCGAAAAAGCCAAAACGTAAGCCGAGTAAACTTGTGGCAATCTTGGAAAGCTTAATAAAGACTATTCGGACTGATGCCTCACGCTAAGATCAGAAAGAAAGCGACAATGAAATAGACTAGCACCTTCCTAGCCTAAAATACTTGATTTGAGGGCTAGTACAATATATTGGGCCATTTTGTAAGGACACTGAGGACTTCGGGAGGGTACTTTTCCGAATCAAGGCGAAAAACTTTCGCACAGATTCAGTTCGCTCACCTTGGGACGTTCCCCCTCGTTTTTTTTGGGAGTTTCCCTGATTATTCGTCAACCTCGGCCCTTATTTCGTCAACCCTGCCTCATGAAGGAGCTTGACGTTGTCGAAATAAGGGTGAAACAACCCCTGTTTCGTCAATCCCAACTAGGGGAGCAAACCGCCTATGTTTTCTGCGCCTTTTCTGAACTCGTGATGATTTGTTTCATTTCTCAAGGGCAAAAATCACTTTCGCTTGGCCAGTTACCGTTTCTCCGCCACTGTCCAACACAAAAAATCGGAGAATTCGGATAAAAACGAAAGGTGCACCTTTCACGGCTCTACATGAGTTGACAGGACTTTACAAATAGCACGTCGGGTTGTATTAACAAAATATTCCCTTTGTTACACTGACGCCAAAGAAGACTCGGAAGCAAGTATGATACAGGGGGAGGCGCGCGGCGGCGGACGGAGCCCGCTTAATCCTCTTGCGCCCCAGCCGTCTCGTTTACTGAAAACACGCAGGGGTTTCATCTCAAAACACAGTTCCTCGCAAAATGCCCCTCCTTTGCTGGGATAGATTTCAATCTGTTCGATGAATACAGCAGAGGTTTTAGCATTTCTTATCGTCAAAATAAATGCCATCTCTAAGCTTAGCTCTCTAATACTTGTTGTATTTTATTTGGGTTAACCCCGGGAGGTTGTAGAAGAGTGTGGGTAATTCCTAGTGGTCTGATAGAACAGTAAAATGCTAAAAAGACTTGTTCATTAGCTTTTTTCGGCGGAGATCCAACTATTTCCCGCCTTTTATGACTCATTCCTTACCGGATAAGAAATCCTATCATATTAACTTATATTAACTTTGTAATACAATATCACAGTCTTTCTGGTCCCTTCCAAGAATTGTTGTGTGAAAAGGGAAAGAGGAACGAGACGAAGAGCGGGTTGCGCATCAAGCGAACGGATGGCGTCGCAGGGCCCCTGGCAGCGAGCCAAGTCCCGCCCCCTAGCTGAAAGCGCGCCAAATTCAAGTGCATGTTTATGGGGGACGCTCGGTCGCAACGTATCGATTCGAGCGACCACGGGCATCACTCGCACTCAGTCGCCGCCGTGGTCGCCCTTCTGGGCTATCGATCGCGCTGCTCAGTACCCTGTCGTATGTCCCTTCTACTGCGCTTTTCCCCCTATGCTTACAGCCCACTTCACATCCCTCAAGCTTCCCTGCACACGCCATTCCTCTAACCCATCTTTCCTTCAGGGTCTTCGGTAATTCCACCTACAGTATCTTACTCTCGACCTTTGGGTTACCCACATTATTTTCCTCTTACCCGCTAGTATTTTCACTAGTTCCCCTCCCTAATGTCAGAAGACGACATGTGGTTGTTATTGTGTGCAGGTTCGGTTGTGTGGTGTTGGGTGCAGGGCCCAGGCAGGTGCTGCCCGCCTGCCGCAGTGGTCGCGGCGCGTGCGTTCGCGTGTTTTCGCGCCGCGCTGCGTGTGATCGCGTCCCCCGATACGCATTCGCCATTCTAGTGCCGCGCTGGCCGAGCGCCTCCGTCCAAGCTCTTCCATTCCCTTCCATTACATTCATCATCTCTCATAACTCCTCAGCTCTCGTAAAACCCTTCCACCTTATCTATTCCCATATCGAAAATAGCCCCAATACACCCTAACATACTTCTTTCAGGTCTCTTAAGTCTTGAAAAATGGCCAAAGCTGCAAAGAAAGGATCACCTGCCAAGAAGGATTCCAAGACCAAGAAGAGCAGTAAAACCAAGGTAAGTGCTCAAAACTCATCGAAATCTACTAGTCAGGCCTCAAGTAACTTTTTCAGGACCCGAATGCTCCGAAACGTGCCATGTCAGCGTTCTTCTTCTGGATGGCTGACAACCGTGAAAGAATAAAGAAGCCGGGTATGGGCGTTGCTGATGTCGCGAAAGCTGCTGGTGTTGAATGGGGCAAAGTCACTGATAAATCGGTTTGTTACTAAAACTAGTCCACTGTTATTCCTGCGAATAAACCCCTAATACGATTATAGAAATGGGAAAAGAAAGCTGCCGAGGATAAGAAACGCTACGAGTCAGAGATGGCTGCGTACAAGGCTAGCGAGTAATTGGACGTTGTGACTGATCTACCTCTGGACCAAGATCCAATTGCTACCCAGTGTTTCGTGATACTCATCTGTATATATACAACTTTCATGTACCTGTCACACTTCGATTTACTTTACCTATTTCTTCGGACCGCAATGTATTTTGTTAGAAAGCATGTTTTTTTTGTGAATATGTAGTACACATGTAATACAATGAAGTTGCGAAGGACATTTTGTTGAATTGTCGAGGTCTATAGGAGTTGTTATGCAGTGGTAGTTGGCCGCTCTAGTACTCTATCTGATATGGGAACATTCCCAGTGGGCTGCTGTGGTCGCGCGTTAGGTCAAGTATTGGCGTGGCGGCGAAAACGACGGGATGGGTCGGCCGCATGCCACCTGTCTCATAATGGTCGCCGAGCGCGTCGCTTGGTGACTCGTATGGATTAGCCACTCAGAAAATACTCAGAAACTTGAAACCCTCTTAACTAATGAAGAGACTGATAGTCCTTGGGCCAGTGAACACTAACTGGGGTTATTGCCCCATAAATTTCAATATTGTGCTGTACTGAAGCCTTACATTCCACATCCGGGAGGTGCAGAGGGCTTCGCCGCGCTCTCCATTCAAACCTGGCAGCAGCTGCTCTTTTAGTGAAATCTTTTCCTTTTGGAGCAGTTAGGAACATGTTTTTGTGCAGCAGGGACAGGATGGCAGTTTTCTCGGGTAGAATCCTCCACGAAGAATGAATATTGCAGTTTAAAATAAATAAATAAATATTACATCCGGTTTTAATCAGGTAGCCAAGCCCTCTCCATCTCTGGGGTATAGATTGTATTAGAGTTTGGGGATGGAACGCCTTACGCTGAGGATCGTCGGCTTACACTCTGGCCGTACTTATTCGGTGGAGGAAGGCGTGTATTTGCTTATCATAAGAAAACATACTTTTTCTGTGAGGCGAATTCGTATGACAAGAGAAAAATTCGATGAGGGGTCTCAAAATGATTTCCAACGGCATGACATATCCCCGGACGCCTTGTTACTGTCTCACTTAGCCGGGGATGCTTCGGAAGATTACATAATACTACTACCATACTACACTATATACAGTAACCCTCAACCTAAACCTTGCCTTGAAACGAACCCAAAAAGCTGTGACTCCCCAGATAAATTTAGTGTTCAGTCCACCTTTCAACCGTCTGATCACAGTTCTTGACCAGCGTTACGTTCGCACCCGCCTTTGCCACAGGCACAGAGGGAATGGTATTTACAATTTTCAAACAACACTTCGCGTTGGTGACTCTCCTAGGTTTCCCCCCACCGACTGAAACCTCCTCAGACTTGACCTCAAACACAGAAGTTTCAACAAGAAACAAAAAATATAACATTTTCCTTTTGGGGGACAAACACCAACAACAACAATACTCTAGGACAGTCCGGGCCAGAATCCACATCCCACCACACATCGCTTAAGGCCTGACTAGCTAACCAGAGGGCCGGGGCTCTACAGGGGCAGCGAACGTTCTGCAGGGCTCGGCTCTCGCAAAAAATCTCTTCGCCGTCACACAGGAATGACCTAACCCTGCCCCGACGCAAAGACATCTTCACTGTACCTTGGATCCTTTTTTGTGAAAACACCCCCTCCCCCTCTTGTTTTGTCCTCAGTAATCCTCCCTCGGCAACCCGCTACCACTCAAAAACTTCACAAAGTTTCTGCGACCGACGTATGTTGTACAGTGGTGTAGATGTTCCTACCCACACTCCGCCGCAAAGACGGAAATTAGGCTGAAAAGGCAGCAATCGTGAGAGAACTTCTCGACCCGGTAACAATTCAGAGGGTCCAAGCGGGTCTAAACCACACATTGTGTGTCCACAAGCATGTTGGCTGTCCTGGCTGTCAAACCTTCTCTTTTTCTTGAAATACAACCCCCACCGGGACACGCAGCTTCTAAAAAGAAACACCTGAGTTCCTCCTGAGGAAAATGAAATGAAATAAGGACATATGAACTCATGAATTTCTTGCCTCAAGGCAGCGGCCCACGTGAGAGTCACTGAAAAAACAAAAGTATTGCCATGGCCATATGAAAAGGGCTAGGCCACGAAATGCCCGCCCAGAGCTAAGAAGCTTTCTGGGCGCCATAAGCCTGGGCAGCACTTGAGGAGTCCTAGTACAAAACAGAAGTACCGTAATCGAGATGAGGTTTTGCCAAGCTTAGGAGCTCCGAGAGCGGTGAAGCAGCATCAAGTACGGTAAATCTATCTACGGTAAATGTATTCGAGTAGCATTAGTAGCGGCTTCGCACTAGGAGTCCTGTGAATGTCCCCTCTCGCCCTCCAAGGTTGCTACCACTACATTTTGCTTCTCACTGGATAAATTTCGGAGCCCTGCGAATCAGGTTTAGATCGCGCAGCTCAGAAATGGGGTTTCGTCACAGCAAGCAAGATATTTTTTCACAATAACTTGAACTCTGAACGTTTTCAGAACAACTGAAACCCAGCAGTATCCGATTACTAGTAATTGTTTATTAAATAATTGACCGAAGATTGTGTAGGAGTTTATCCTATGCATCAGCAATATTAGCTTTGAAGATAGAATCAATACTTTCTATGGACAAAACGCCGTGCCGCTTCAATTCTCGCCCGCAGTAGTCGCCGGCACGTAGGCCGCCGGTGGCCTAGCGCTCGCATTGGAATTGCCATTTGAGTCGCGATGGAATACTTCAAAGTACTAGGAGAGGAATCAAGAGCAGCGACCAAAACACCGGTTTAACACGCAAATATTCCCCCAGTCAATGTTTTTCCAATGGGACAAGCCCCGTTCACTCTTTACGGGCGCATCGTTCGCGAGACCAGTCGCTTTATAAACGCTGTCTGGCGTGCAGACAAGTGCCGTTATGGATGTTCGCCGTTCAGCCACCCATTGCGGCCAGCCAGTCATAACGGTAGTCGTTTTATTGCCCACGTTCGACAATCGTGGCATGATGAGGAGAATTGAATTGCATCTTTCAAGACACGCGCGGCGCTCTAGATGGAAAGTTGTGCGGCTCAAATATTAAAGACAGGGTGGCAATTAATACAACAGTGAAAAAAATGCAGACCACCCCACCCCAATGCCGCCGTATGGAACCCCGAACCGCGCTTGCTCGTGTGCAAGACAAAAAAATGGGCGTGGTTGGATGAGCTCTCTTTTGTTGGTGCCAGCTCTTCCTACTTATTACCTCACTCTCGTTATTCAGAATGGAGTCTCGCTACGAGCGTCCAGAGGTATTTTCTCATTGTATCTTCTGCCCCAGCATTTGAAGCGAGGGCGATGAGGAGCAAGGAAGAGAGGGGAGGAAGGTAAAGAAGGAAAAAGGAGGTAACCTTCGAAGGATTGCAGATAACATGAGAG